ACTCCCTGCCACAGCCCTGCAGCTTTCGGAGGTCTGGGGTGGGGTCCTGGGCCAGGGTGAGGTTGCCATACACCCCCACCCACCCCTCCCCTGAGCCACCACCCTTCCCTGCCCCTGTGGGCAGTTTCCTTGCCTTGGGAGGGGAGGGGAGCTTCACCCTGTTGGCCTTGGCTGCTGGCATCTGTGACTCCCAGGCTATGCGGAGGTCAGGCATGGGAGTATGAACCGTGAGTAATCAACTCAAAGGACTACAGATTTAAAACATACCAAGCATTTCACACCCATTGGGTTAGCAGAAAATTGCAAATTCTGATGCTACCCCATGTGGCAAGGATGAGGAACAATGGGGACTTTCACACACTGCTGGTGGGAGTTGGCCTGGTCCAGGTTTTGCTTGAAACGTGTACAATTTGGGGACCTTCTTTATTAAAGAATATGAAGTAAGGCAGGGTCTTGGAAGGGGCCTGAGCTTAATTATGCTTCATCGGCTTCCGGGTAACTCTGCTTCTGGAGCATGTACATTGGAATCATCCTTTTGCATAGCGATGTGGTAACAGCTGGGAAAAGGAAGATGTGCATTCCCTATGAACCAGGAGGTCAAATCCTCCCTGTGTGCTCTGGGAAGAACTTCCCCACATCTAACTAAAAGGGCACATACAAGAATGTTCTTGGCAAGGCTATCCGTGCTAGCAGAAAGCAACAGACTGCAAACAGCCAAAATGTCCATCAAGAGAAGAACAAATAAATAGCGTCAACCTGCGGGATGTTACTATTTTCATAAAGTGAAAACATATAAAACAATGCCACGTGCAGTCCACCCATAGTGAGGTGTGCAGTCTAGGTTTAAAATCAACTCTGCTTGGGAGTAATGAACACCATGGTCAGCCTAGGGATTGTCCTGAGGATGGAGGGAAGAGAAGATAATCGTGGAATAGCCAGTGCATTTAGATGCCATCTGAAAAGCTTTATTTCCCGAATACTAAAAGTAAATCAGGCCAGATATTAAGATTTGACAAAGTGAAGTGCTAATTATGTGGGCATCTTTTCTGTAAATATGAAGTATTTCTTAATTTTTGTTCTTTAACAAACTTAAGGGAAGTCTACATAACATAAGACGAACCATCTTAAATTAATGAGTTCAATGGCATTTAATACATTCACGATGTTGTGCAACCACCACCTCTAACTCCAAAACATTTTCACCACCCCAAAAGGAAACCCCATTCCCATTAAGTAGTTCTTCCGCATTCTCCCTCTCATCTCGGTCCCTGGACAACCACCGGTTTGTGTTCTGTCTCAATGGATTTACCTATTCTGGATATTTTACATAAATGGAACCATGCCATACATGACCTTTGGTGTCTGGCTTCTTTTACTTAGCATAGTGTTTTCAGAGTTTATCAACTTTGCAGCATGTACCAGTACTGACTTCATTCCTTTCTATGGCTGGAGAATATTCCACTGTATGGATAGATCACAGTTTCTCTATCCATCCACTGAATTGGGGCTGTTTCTACCTATTGGTTATTGTGAACAGGGCCGCTACAAACATGCATGTCATGTACCTATTCAGGTCCCTGCTTTTAATTATCTTGGTTAAAAATCTAGCCATGGAATTGCTGGGTCATATGGTAATTTCTTTTTTCAGGAACCACCAAACTGTTTTCCAGAAGCAGAGGAACCATGTTAGTTTCCACCAGCAGTGTATGAGGGTTCTAATTTCATCCTGGCCAACACTTGCTATTTTCTGTTTTTTTTTTTTTAAATAATAATCACCATAATTTCACGTGAAATCGTACCTCATTGTGGTTTTTATTCCATTTTCCTAATGACTAATGATGCTGAACCTCTTTTCATGTGCTTATGGGCCATTTGTATAGCTCTTCTGGAGAAATGTCTGTTCACGTTTGTTGCATATTTTCTAACTGGCTTGTGTGTCTTTTTGTTGTTGAGTTGTAATAGTCTGTAATTTTAAAAAACCCTCCCAGTACTATGGTGAGCGCTGGGAATTGTGCAAGACTGTTGAATCACAGATCTGTACCCCTGAAACAAATAATGCAATATATGTTAAGAAAAAAAAAGAAGAAGAAGATAGCAGGAGGGGAAGAATGAAGGGGAGTAAGTCGGAGGGGGAGATGAACCATGAGAGACGATGGACTCTGAAAAACAAACTGAGGGTTCTAGAGGGGAGGAGCATGGGGGGATGGGTTAGCCTGGTGATGGGTATTAAAGAGGGCACGTTCTGCATGGAGCACTGGGTGTTATGCACAGACGATGAATCATGGAACACTACATCAAAAACTAATGATCTAATGTATGGTGATTAACATAACAATAAAAAATTTAAAAAAATAAAAACACCAAAAAACCCCACAAACCCAAAAAAACCCTCCCAGAGTTCTTTAACTCACTACTCTTTCCACACATCAAGAGGCATACAGCTTCCGCTCTACAATGTTACAACCCGTGCTGGGGGAAAACTTAAAGGACCAGTGTCTGCTTTCTTTTCTGCTCTCTGGCACCCCATGGGTACATCCCCACTCTGGAGAGGAAGAAAGAGATTCAGAGACACACTGGGGCACGCGAGGTCTCTCGGAAAGTTGGGAGGAAGGAAGGGAGGTGGGGGAGCAGGGCTGAGGTTAAGGAGGAAAAAAAATCACTTGTTTTTTTTTTTTTTTTAAAGATTTATTTATTTATTTCAGAGAGAGGGAGCACAAATCAGGGGAGAGGCAAAGGGAGAGGGAGAGAGAAAGAATCTCAAGCCGACTCCCTGCTGAGCTCAGAGCCCAACAGAGGCAGGTCTCACTCCCAGGACACAGAGATCATGACCTGAGCCAAAACCAAGAGTCAGATGCCACCCAGGCGCCATTAAGGAGGGGAAAAAAAAAAAAAAAATCACTTCTAACAGCTGAGAGGAAACTGTTCCGAGCAAGAAAGAATGATTTTTCTAGAAGCCCCTACCATCTCAGGTCACAAAACAGCCCCGGGAGGAGTAAATTTCCACTAATCCATGGTTCTGAGATTTCCCACACCCAGCCTTGCACTTTCCCTTATTGGGTTCTGGGGGTGGTATCCTCTCATCCCTACCCAGCAGATGGCCCTGCTCGGCTGGACTGTTCCCACCCTCAGGGGTAATCCTTCCCCTAAACTGTGATACCAGGAGGAGGCAGAGGGCACTGGAGCTTATCCCTTCTGTGAAGCCGCCACCTGCCAGCACCTACTGCCAGCTGAGCCCATTCTTGTCAGGGCAAGAGGAGGATGGTGCCCCAGAGTCTTCTGCCTAGAGCTCAAGGAACACACTCTCCTGATTCTTGTTTTAATGCTCCTCAAACAGCTACAAAGGCAGAGTAAGCCACTCTACGTAAGGGCCATTTAAGAGACACGAGGAAAAACCCTTTGTTGCTTAAAAATGTCTCTTGCCTCATCACACCTCACCATTAGCCATCATCTCTTTTGGTTATGAAACTCTGCCTTTGTAAATGCAGCAGCCTCTGAAGGAACCACCCATTACTTATTCCCAAGTCATAGGGTCTATACGTTCTTTTTAGAAATCCAGCCTTGGGCAAGCACAGGCCAACTGCTGCATGGAAGCTCAGATGAGCCATCTGGGAAAAGAATGTGCCAGTGAATGCAAGCCCCTCCCCTCTGGGCCTGGGTGTCCCTATCCATAAATGATGGGTCTGGGCTTAGTGGTGTCCAGGGTTTCTTCTAGATGTCACTTCCTTGATTCTGGCTAGCTCCAGGATTTGAAGTCATTCTGGATACATCCAGGTTTGGGCTTAACTCAACTCACACAACTTCAGTGATAGGGTGGCCCCAGGCAACCTCAGCCCCCTTAACCCTTTCCCCCAAGCCCTCCAGGGAGAACAGAACCTGCTCCCTTTGCTGTTCACACCCTCCTGCCTCCCATCGGACAATAAGAAGCCGGGGTCCTGTTTTTAAACAGTCAGGTTTGGACATTTTCTTTTCCAACTAACCCTCCAGGCAGCCACTTCTGCAGTGGGGGTGCAGGGAAGTCGAGTCTCTGTGGCCGCCACGCACCACACCCACAGAGTAAATACACCACGCCCCCTCCCAGGTAAGGGTCTGTAGCTCCTTCGGAGTTTAGGCTGAGGGGGGTCTGAAGCGTCCCTACACGGTGATCCCCTTTCTAGGAGCCGGGCGTGCGAAGCGCTTTCCCGGGCGGAGACAGCGCGGCTCCAGCTCAAGGAGGGACCCGTGGAGTTCCTGCTGCTCAAGGTGAGCCAAGGCGCAGGACCGCTCAGGCCAGCCCCTCTCCCTTACCCCCACCCGCGGTGCAGGGCAAAATGACTGTGGCCAGCAAACGATGGCCTGTTCTATTACTTCCAGATCGAAGTTGTGGCAAGTACGTTCACTCGCCAGAAACTTTCAAAGGCCCGAAGAGAATAATCCAGATTCAGCTCCTCCTACGACACCAACCCAATCTCCAGACGTCGGTTGGCAATACATACTCAGGTTTGTTTGTTTGTTTGTTTGTTT